GAAATATACAGATGATAATGATATCTTCTTCTTGGAGTAGTTCGAAGGATTGCATGATGTCAGGTGAGATAATACTGGGGGTGCCAAAAATGTGTACACATTTTAAGACGTTTGCTGTAATCAAAAGTGTCTCGATGCTCATGGAAAACACTTTGAGCACCTCTTATAATTGCAGAAGTCAAATGTGACTTATGTTCATCTTACTGAGTATTACAGTTTTAACAGTTTTTCCTTTCTTAAAATGTGTATACATTTTTTTGATACCCTCTGTATATAAGAAGGGACTTGGTAAATTATTAGGTATTGCATGATTTTTTTGCTTCTATTTTTAGGGACAGGAAAATGAATCATGGGCTGGTTACGTGGAGAAGTAAACAGGGCATCCAGGATTAGGCAACAGAAGGGTAGAAGCCAAGCTCTATATACCCTATCATTCATGCAGTGACATTTAAAAGAAAGAAACACACAAATGTCTTCCAAACAGGGACCGGGTGTATGCTGATCAAAGGATGCATTTAGCACAGTGCCTATCTTATAGTAGGAACTAAATAAACGTTACCTCTATGATTACTACTCTTCCTACGATTTCAGCAATGGCGTTTACAGGCACTCGTGGGGGCATCTCTAGCTTGTTCTTGTCCCATTGAAAGACCTCTGTGGGAATTGAGATTAAAATCCTACTCTTTGGAATCAGAACAAAGGGAATCACATAATTTCAATGTCTAAAGGCAAAAGACTAAGAGACTTTGATATATCCATGGCCTCACCAATGGAACCACAATTCTTTTTTTAATTTAATCTTTTAAATTAGTTTTCCTTTTTCTTTTTTTAAAAAATTTTTTATTTTAAAGATGTGGGGTACAATTCAGGGTTAGGTATACAAATGTTCATTATGCAGGTATCCTTGTTGATGAGGTATGCCCCCTCTCCCACAGCAGATTCCCAATACTGCCAATCCTTTTCTTATAGTATTATGATAATTGTTCAAGGTTCACTTATGAGTAAAACCATATGATACTCAGTTCTCTGTTTCTGCGATAAATCACTCAGTCTAACCAAGTTACTGTGAAGTTCATAATTTTGTTCTTCTTTATGGCTGCATAATATTCCATCGTGTATAGAACCACATTTTAAAAATCCAGTCCTCTTTCCATGGGCAGCGGGGTTGGGGACCACAGTTCTTATATGTTGGTTTAAAAAATATATGAGCATTACCTTAGTCTGTTTTGTGTTGTTGAGACTGTGTAACTTACAAAGAACAGAAATTTATTTCTCATGGTTCTGGAGGCTGGGAAGTCTGAGATCAAATCACTAGTAAGTTCATTGCCTGGTGAAGGTTGAGTCTCCACTCCTATGATGGTACCTTGAATGCCATGTCTCACAAGGTGGAAGGGGGAGAAGAGACAAACTTCCTCCATCAAGCCCACTTATAAGGGCACCTAATCCCACTCATAAGGGAGCAGCCCTCATGGCCTAATCTTAATACTGTCATACCAAAAACACTTGAAATTTGGAGGAGGACACATTCAAACCATAGAAGGCACTTTCAAAAAATTACTTTGCTAACTTTGGTCTCCATTGAATTCAAGATTGGTGGACCAATCTTAGTCAAGTTTCTCTATGGCTTGGGAATTGACTTTTAGACTGTCTTCTCACATGGTTCATGTGTGAGTTTATGTTTTAATGATCAGAGGACAGTCCTATGTGTCTTATTTGGAAGCTTTTGGTGACCATCTTACTATTGGTTCACATCTAAAGTCTTAATACATGCTACAGGGCAGTGCTTCCCAAGTTTGAATGATTATGTGAGTCACATGGGGAATTTATTAAAATGCAGACTCAGTAGCTCTGGGGCAAGACTGAGATTATACATTTCTACCAGCTCCCAGGTGATGCTGAGAATGAAGACCCATGGACAACACTTTCAGCGGTAACATTAAGAGTAATAGCTAATTAAATGTCAAGGTTGGAATATAAACCCAGGTCTATCTTGCTCCAAAGGCTATCTCTTTCCCACAATGTTGAGATTCAGAAACAGAAAGCAGAATAATAAATGAGAAATTGCCTTTAAGCTCAATTATTTGGGATAATTATTATCTGCAATGTTAAAACTTAGAACTAGCCGGGCTCGGTGGCTCAGCCTGTAATTCTGCGCCTTTGGGAGGCTGAGGTGAGT